ACAGGAATTCCTGTCCCAGATGAGCCACTCCATAGGAACAGGAATTGGGAGCATTTGCCTTTGCAATAAGCCTCCCTATAACTTCCTTCTGCAAGAAATGTTTGCATTTTAGTAACTATAATTTCCTTTCTCAGTGTGGCCATAATTCCTGTAAGATTAAAACCTGAAATAGGTGGGATTTGGGGGATGAATTTGAATGGGATTTATCAGCAGAAACCTGGATTTTAGCATATTCACATCTCCATATCCAGGACAAAGACTTTTGACTTGAGTGACACTGAACTGGTCACCCCTTTATTAGCCTTGGACGAGCAGCTGTGGAACACCTCAACACAGAGCTGCATAGTCTACTCTCCAATCCTGCTTTAGCTCCATGGCAAGCCGGGGCCTGGGGCCTGGGGTCCAGTCTTACATTTTCTCTCTCGATGTGGCCGCTGTCCTCTTAGCTGTGTCTTTCTGAGCTCGTCTCTTTTTGTTTTTATTCTTATTGCACAGACTCTTTAGAAGAGTTTATTATTTTAGAGAATCGGGGAGTGTGGGGAAAATTTCTCTGCCTTGAGGACCAGCTTTATAGACCCCAACATGGTCAGTTCCTCTCTCTGCTGTCTAATCTTCTTAGGAGAGATGTTCTGTTTTAAGTCTTGGAAAAGTCTTAAACAAATTAGAGACTTTTTTTAGGTTTTACAAAATAAGATCAGCTGCTACAGCATAAACAAGTCCCTAACCACAGCTGGGCCCTAGTAATGCATAGCTACATCACTATGTAATGAACTTAAAATATCAAGGTAACTTAAGAACTGGGGCAACATTTTTCTTGTCATCAAATATTTAAGTAGTTTTCTGAAGGGTGGCCGGTTACTGGTCATTGCTAATTGAGAATGGTTTACCATCAACATTCCACGGCACATGATACTCCCCTGTGCTGGGCTGAATAGTAACCCCACCTTGCCCACCCCCCTCCTGAAATTCACATCCACCTGGAGCCTGTGGATCAGCTTCATTCTTCATGGAAGTGTTTCTTGGTCGAACACGATGCATGAAAAGTGGGTGGACTTTGGGCAGTGTGTTACCTGCTGTCACGTATTGACAGTATCGATTAGGAATATGAGATTGCCTGTGGCTTTGGTACATTTCTTGGCTTTTGATTCTAGGGACTGAGAGAGGCCATACAAACTCAGGATTGGCTTGCTGGTTGTTGACATTAACATAGAAGCTGCACCTAATCCTTAAACAGTGACAAGTACTGACATACCTTGTGACTTTCCTTCTCCTGGAATGAGTTGCTGTCATTTCAGGAGAAGCTAGCTATACGTCCCCATTGCTGAGAAGAAAAAAATAAATATTCCCAATGATTGCCTTTCCCAGCTGGGGAGGAGCCCAAGGTTCTAACTTAGGTCAAGGCCCAGGAATTGGGAGTGGGCACTGTAGTGGATAGAGAGGACTGAAGGAGGACTGAAGTCTGAGTCCTGGGCAAGAGCAGGCTTGGGAAGCTCACAGTAGCTGAGCCACTATGTCCAAGAAGCTAAGGTTCTGATCAGGCAGGATGGAAGATTTGGGAGAATTCGCTCCCAGAGAGAACTCTCCACACAGAGAAGTCCAAGAAGTCTGGGGATGAGATGGGGCGGGGTGGGGGGGGGCAAGCTTCCAAAGGACAGTTTAGATGTTTCCTACAGAACATAACATGGCTTAGTGTCAAAACCTGGGAATAATCTTCATTGACAAAGGGGTCTTTCATCTAATCACTTGCTCCCAAAGAGACTTCAGGCAACTACTCTAAAACTTAAGTCACCATTTCACTAGTTTCTAGTTGATAACCCTATGGGAGGAGTTTGCTCTTATGGTTACCTGTTTTGCCTAGCAGCCTCTTGATCAGGGAAGGTGACCCAGAAAAGTATGAGATTCAAAGTTCCATAGATGTTTTACCGAGATTCTTCTTGTGCCCGTGAGGAGCACTGGTTAAACCTGCTTTCAGTTTATTCCATTGTAAATAGGTTTAATGCATGAGGGACTTCAACAAGTTTGAGGGAAAATGGAATTAATATACAAGTTTATTTTGGTGCAAATAAATGGACTCCACGCATAATTTTTTTGAATATAAATTTTCCGTGAACTTTTAGAACACCCCTTGGGCAGCTTAGGCGTTTTGATCATTGGAGCAGACACAAAACTATTCTTCCATTGAAGACTGTCCTGGACCCATGTGCCTTTAGGCACTCTCCTGCCTACTGAGCCCAGGGGAGAAGCCTTTGGTTTAGACATATGGCCTGGGTACCTAAAGCTAAGACCGAAAAGATGCTCTGAAGGAGTTGTCTGGCGTGAGCGTGGGGCAAGGACAAAAGCAGTCTGTGCCTCCTTGGTGGCAATCACAGTCTTTAATCATTAATGAAGTCACATTTCTGGTTGTTGCAAGGGCTAGTCTGTAGCTGGTTGAAGTGCAGAGCTCAGAGGGAAAAGATCTGGAAGAGCAGCTCTTTGCAGACCTGCCCCTCCCTGGCACGGTCAAGGATCCTCTTTACTTCCCTTCCACTTGGAACTTCCAGTACGGGAGGGGTTATGTTGGTGGGTCATTGTTTTATCTTAGGTCCACATGACCCTGTGTGAAGACCTGGTCAGTCTCCATTCTCATTTTTCTCTTCTCCCTCTTCTTTATTCTGAAACTGCCTCCAACAGAGGGATAGGGACTCTGGAGAGAGATCTCTGGCCCCAGGGGATAGGAAACACCAAATTTAGCTTAACACTAATTATCTCACTGGGCGCTCTTGAGAAATACTCTTGGCCTTTCAGGACTCCAATTTTTCTCACCTGAGACGCCATGAATATGTGTTTATGATGACTTGTATGGTCCCTAAAGTCTTGGGACTCCAGACATAATGTCCCTCTATAGGGGCAGAGGTGAGGGTGAGTATACCTGGTAAGGGTTTCAGGTCTTAGTATTAATGCACTGAGGGGAGCTATGGCTTCGTTTAGTCATGTTTACAGAAAGGTAGAAAGCTGGGTTTCCAGGATATCTGTCCCAGCATCAAGAAGCTAGAGCTGGATTCTAGCTAATATTCAATATATCTTTTGAATGAAGAAGAGAAGGGAGGAAAGGATAGAATAGAGGAGATTATCCCAATTGACATCCCATCTAGAGGGGTTCTATGTGTCTCTCCTTTCTGAAATTACCTCCTTTCCTTCTAGACCCTCTTCTTTCAGAGAGGCCCCTCTAAGAACTTCATTCTCTTCCACACCCTCAATTCTCTCAATAAAAATGAGCTGCCTTTTGGCACCCACCCCCAACAAGAATGTAAGGCCAGATTCAATGTCACGGAGGAGGGGACCAGCACACCTCTGAGGACAGGGAGGGAAAGCCTAGGTGGCATGTGC